GTTAATTGAGAAAAGAGGTTTTCAAACTTAGGCTAACTACACCTTCGTAGTATGTGATAGCTTTTTTGTTGTTTCTCCTAACTATAGTTTCCGGTCAGGAGTTAGGTATTGCATCTCAAGTATTCTATTTTTGTAGAAACACCTAGACATTATTGCATTAAACTGTAGAAGATGGAACAAGTTATATTTTTTTCATTTTTTTGGCTATACCAACTTTCTCACTCTAATATCAAATATTAATAGTATGCAATCTCAACATTTTTTGCAATCAAGATCACTACCAGATTCCTTAGTTTTTGGTTCAAAAAGGATAGTCAATGATAGCGAATTTTTTTTGGCAGGACAATGAGAACTTCGTTGATGATGGTATTCAAATAAGACCTTTCAATATGAATAAAGAAAAAGAAGAAGGACACTTTGATTCAGATGAAACTTTGTTGAATATGTCAATAATAATGAAATCAAGGTAAATTATCTTATTGACTTAAAGCTTATAAATTATTATATCAAAACTTCTATTGACTATCACATGGATTTATTGTAGGATACGTGGATTAATAGCGTTGAAGCTGATATAAAATATACAGGAAAAACATTTGCAACACCAAACACTGAAAATAATAATGAAGTTGGGACACAGTATCTTTCCTCCCAAAATAGTGGGATAATGAAAAGACATATTGCCGATGTCCATGAGCTTGGAGAAACGGTAATATTACATGATGATAGATATTCTATTTAAAAGAAAAAAAATTCTTTGGTAAAAGGAATAATTCTGTTACATATTTGTTCCAAAATTTGCATTTTGCTTTGATTTTCATGATATGAGTATATTCTGCTTATATTAGATTATGATATTTTTGCTGGCATATGGATCTTATCCATTTTATTTCTTTTCGTTATTTACTTATTTTTGTTCTAATGATGATTACTCTTAGCATCCATATTGATTCTATTGAGGGTGTTCATCAATTTTGAGGCTAATTTAAATTTACTAAAATGCTCATGTAAGGCATAAATTATACTAACTTACTGTTGTTGATTTCTCAAACAAGTACACGTATCATAACAAGTAATATAAAAAAAAGTGAAATTCATTCCCATAGAGAATTGAATTAATTCCTAATTTATCCAAACAACTAAAAATTAAATTAAAAAGAGAAATTAATTTTAACAAACTAAAGACTAAAACTAATCTAAATTGTCTAGCAAAATTATTTTATTAAATCTGATTGACTTTTAAACTTAATATTATAATGCCCCTTAATACTTCATCTAATTATTGTCTCTCTAGCTTAACTAAGATTAATAGATTAAGTTACTAACTCAGAGTCATAAATTATTTACAAGTCTCTGTTAAGTTTCTCATAAAAATATCTTTCTCAATTAATTTACTATATGTCTATGCAAACTAAATCAAAGACAGATTCATTAAGTTCGTATTTTAATTTTGACTACATATGGCTTATAGGTGTATGTCTATCCTATATGCAAATCAAACCACCTAATCAACTAAATGCATTCGATCATACGATATTTATTTAAGGTTTACATAAATCTCCTTCATCAAGGTTTAACCTAAGCTTCCAATTCAATTTAATTGGTGATCAGATAATTAGAAGCATTAAGAACTAAATAAATTAAACTACTTAAATCTATCAAATATAATCAAAAAAGAGATAAATAAATTAGACTACGTATTGAGTTCAATTATAATATATGATAATAACTTAGTTCCCCATCAAGTCACACTTCATCATCAAATTAGGTTTAAACATTCCAATCAAACTAAGAAAATAAAAGAATAACAAAAAGATAATAGAACCCAAGAACTATAATCTTGATCTTCCAAATCTTCTTGAATCTTTCAAATTCTTCTCAAGTCAATGACTTTGTGGCTTTATTAGCTCTTAATCGGGTTTTTTATTTTTTTCTAAAAGTCCTCCGAAATGTTATTTTTATAGGGCTTTGAAGCTAAGGCAAGTTGAGTGAAAAAAAAAAGTCAATTTCAATCAGGATTTCCTCATCAAACTTCAAGGGCCACGGCCTATCTCGACCAATTAATTAATAGAAATTGTAATTACTTTATGACTACTGCAATGCTTCAAATTAGATAAGATTTTTTATTATCTTCCAGGCTGAACTCGGCAAAGTGGCAAACATAAAAGTTGTAAATCTTTCTCTTGACTTTCCAATGGTTTAAGAATCATTTCATTTGGACTTCTGTAGAGAGAGTTAATAGTCAAAATATCGAGATATGTGCAATAAAAGTCTGCACCTTGAAATTACTTCTCCTACTTCCATTAAAATTCTTCCTTCATTAAATACCTATAAAAGCACGAATAAATCAATATCAACCTTTTCAGTCTCTTCAACCTACATCCATGACATTGATCTTACAATCAAGAATTTTTAAATCAAATCACTATAATTAGTGGAATTCTCAAGCTTCCACCAAGTTTTTACAATAGTTTTTCATAGACTTAACCACATCTTTTAACAATGATCTTTCTCGGGATCAACCAAGATCCAAATCTAACTTTTCCTTGGCTGAGCTAGAACCTATAAAACCAATCAACCTAACCTAAGTTTGATTAATCCCCTTAGAATGACTCGCTCACTCTAAGTAATCAAGAAGTATAGATATAAAAAGGTACCTATGATCACTAACCTGATCTGAATGGTACAAGATAAAGTGTCAAACTTTATTACAAAGATTAGAGTGAAAAGCAATAAGAGTTGAGAGAATTTTTGCTATTTTGTAGCTTTTTTTAATCTTAGAAGCATCTAATCTTTTTCTTAGCCATTAGGGGTGTCTTTATACTTGAAAAATCAACTTTGATGGACGTTGAGAGCTTCAGACTGTTAGAAATAGTTTAAAGTCAATTCTAGTCGTTATTCTATCTTCAATCATTCAAATTCAAATTTTTAGACAAAGTGCTCTTAATTGACAAACCATACTTCTTAGTCGATTAAGTCTTCTCTATCCTGTAATTGAATTCTCTGGTAGTGAGTTCTTAGTTGACTAACCATGCTTCTTAATCGATTAAGTTTTCTCTGTCTTGTAATTAAAGTCTCTAACAGTAAACTCTTAGTTGACTAACTATGTTACTTAGTCGACTAAGTCTTCTCTGTCCCGCAATCTACTTTCCTTTCATAATCAATTAAGTAAGGCTTTAACTAATTAAGAGCTTACTGTCTCTGAACTGACCAACTTCATTTTTGGATTTTAGCTGACTAACTCCGTTGATTATCTGACTAAAAAGTTTCTATCTGTGGCTCATTTGTAACTTTTTATTCTAATGAGTTTTGATATTTTCTTTCCAATGATTAATTTATTACTGATATATATTTTTAACTTGCATACTCAAGTAGTATAGTTAGACATTAATGAATGAGAATATTTTATTATCATTAAAAATTTATGGAACCAACAACGGAAAAAACACAACAACAGAAACCAAAGAAATGAGAGGAAATGTGTATGGCAAAAAAAAAAATAAGAAACTATCACTATGGTTAAACATATCTAACAATCGTTTAATAGTTTGATCATTTTGTTTGATCAATATAAAAGCCTTTTTCTTGACCGTTCACTTTACTTAAAAGGTTCTTTTTCGACTATTTTATTGTCTCTTTTACTCACATAAATATGATTATTTCTTCCCCCATGTAAGTATAAGCAAGAAATATGGTTTTATTTGAAATTAGTGAGTCAAAGCATATCTTACAAGTAACGCACAGACAATGAAAACTTATAAATGACAAAAATTGATGAACAATAACCAAAGAAACTAAAGTAAATAATCATTTTCAATTAATACTAGTTTATCTTTTCCTTTACCAGTATAAACTATACATTCATGTAGTTGACTAACACAATATAGCACAACAACAGAAACCAAAGAAATAGAAACAAATATATACGGTAAAAGGAATAGCAAACCTCCCAATCACAAATGTTATTCATATTGTTTGAACAATATATTCTTTATGGGAAAAAAAATTTACTGCATGTTCAACAGGATCACTATCTTCTTTGGATAAGTACTATTTTAAAAACATATATTTAAGAGAAGCTTCCCACCGATTGAAACCAAAGCAAATAATTATCTTTAATTAATAATAGTTTATCTTTTTCTCTATCAGTAGACATTCATACAGTTGATTAATACAATATAGTTTTCTCTACAAACTCTTTTAAAACACCAAATTGAAGTCCACTATTTGCTATGAACTTTTTCGTACGGGCACCATCCTAGTTAATATTAAAAATAATAAATATTTTTTATAAAATCATTCAAATGACAGAAAATATTTTGTAAAATGAAATCCAAATAATAAAATATCAAATATTTTTTAAAAAATAAAAATTTACTTGTTTTTTAAAATTTAAATTATTACCTGAATTCACGACAAGTAATAGTTTTTTTATCTGAACTCTATCCGAGTTTAATTATAAAGTATCATTATAAAGTGCTGATTGACATTCTCACCTAAATTTTTAAAAAAATAAAAAAAGATAAATACTACTCCTATCCTATCAGCAAGCCGTCTAAGATAGGAAACAAAAAATGAAATATAAATCCTAAGAGATAAAACAAGTGTCTGATAAAGCTAAAGAACAAATTAAATAGCATTTAGATAAATATGAAAGAAACCAGATAAGCAACGCGTCAGGCATGAGGACGCCAAGCAACATGGCAGCATCCCAAGCAACGCTGGTGGGTTCTCAACGCATGCTGATGCTGGGTTCTTGAATTTGTCTCAAGAGAAGGGACCAAGAAAGAGGCAATGCATTCCGCGTACGAGAAACAAAACAAAAAACAGTGGAGATTTTTAGGCATGAGAAATCCAGGGTAAGACATGACACAGGACACACGAGTGAGTTGAGTTGTCTTAGTCTTTAGTTCCGCGGAAACCGCGAAAGCCAACTACTACTAACTACCAAACACGGAAACTCAAACGCCCCACCCAGGTAGGAGTTTGGGGCTTTAGATTGGGGAGAGATGGGTCTTTTCCCATCGATGTATCTTCTGCTTACATCCGTGGAAGCAGTCCAGAGAAAGAGAATAGCATATCGTATCTTTTTGTCTTTGTTTTATTGCTTTCAGCTTAAACCCAGAAAGTCCCACCATCATCAACCTCCGTCCTTATTTGATCGTTCGCCGCTGACCCCAAATCCTCTTTCTATTTGTTTTGATTTTCCACCGCAACCATCTCTCCAACGTTATATCTCAGGTGACGATTCTCTTTCATTCTTTTGTTATTGTTTTCTTTTCCAAAGGATAAAAGGAAAAAAGAAAAAGGTGATCCTAACACTAACAGATTGGCATCTTTGCTTCCTTTCAATCCAGATTTTATGATTGGGTGATCCCAACTTGTTTTCTTAATTGTTCCTTTACTTTTTTGAGCATTGGATGATCCATTCGTGAACAATATATAAATTTTCGATAGATATGGCGAGGTGTTGTTGTTGAAATTCAATTACCTTAATATTGCAGTTACAGGTCCCCTTTAATTAGTTATTGTTACCCCTTATTTCCAGAATCTTAATGTGAGGTCAAAACCATGCCTCGTTCCTTTCCTCCCCCAACAAATACAGGCAGATTATGCCATGCATTGTATTGCTGAAAAGAATGATGAATGAATTGAATTTTATTAAGAAAACAAGCAATTACAATCTTGACCAATCACTTGCCTGATGGCTTTTTGTGTTTCTTGCTTGTTGATTTTCACCACTCAATCTTTTAAGATGTCATTGTAATGTGATCACTATTGAATGAAAAACCATGATCAAACATATTATGTTTTGATTGTTCATAAACCACTTCCACATCTATGGAATGGTGGTCATACTGTTAAGCTTCTGACTCTCCCAGTTTAGCTTTGGACACCCAGTTTAGTTGATTTTATCTGTGGGGGAGTTTTCTGTAGCGGCTGAGTTACACTATGAGGAATGGAGTACAGCATGTAGGTGAATGTTCCAGCTCAACCTCTTGGAGCAGCCAGCAGGATACTGAGGATGACCAGATGATTGCTGTTGTATTATCAGAAGAATACGCCAAGTTAGATGGTGCTGTTGCTAGACGCCTTTCTGGTCTTGCACCTGTTCCTGTATGATGCCCCACCTTCCTTTTTTTTTTGTCCCTTTTTCTGGTTGATTTGATATAAGTTCTCTTTAAGCATTAATTACCTCTGAACAATGATGCATTTATACGTTCTCTTGTTGCTTTATCATTTATCAACTCTGCCTCTTCTTAGGGCCATGGCCTGAATGCTTTACTGTCAATGAAGTTTTTGCTGCATTGCTTTCTGCATTATGAAAGCAGCCTGATTTGCTTGGCCTTTGCTTATTACATTAATTCTGTTACTGCTATAGTTTATTGCTTATTGAATGATAGTTCTTTTTTTTTTCTTTAAATGAATAAGCATTACTTATCTTATAAATACTTGAAATTTCAGCATGTGCCACGCATAAATTCCTTTATTCCCAACGTAAGTGATGCAAGTTTGGATCACCAACGCCTTCTACAGAGGTATGTACTTCACAGTTTCAAAAGCGTGGTTTAAAAGCATTTTAAAAGTCTTCTAATCTAACTTCATTGGGAAGATGTTGAAAAATATCATGAATATACATATCTATGTAGCACTGTTGATCAAAATTGGAAGACATCTTGATTGGTATACTTTGAATTTATCAATAAAACTGAAGAATTTAACTGATTTACATAAAAGGAATTATTTAGAGGATGAAGTAAAGAGTGTTCTAGTGAGAAATTAAGAGAAAACTGTATGCCATTGAAGTCATGGCTCTTCAAAGTTGCACTGTAATCTATCTGCTTCCACTGTTTTCAAAATTCTTACTTATTTGATGTACCAAAAAATCTTTTTGTTTTGACACAATAGTTTATGAATTTACTCTGTTATTTTCTATTTCAGGTAGATGCTACTATGCTAGGGTATCTTAGGATCTGCAACTATGAATCATCTATGAGACCCAATAACTAAGATAAATTCTATCTGTGCATTCTTGCATGCTCAGCGGTCTACCAGCTGGACCTTTCACCTTTCCCACAATATATGTTTTTGTTCACTATTTTTGAAGCACATGAGTCTTTTCCCTTGCAAGGAGTTCAAATGAATATGGTCCATGCTTACCTCAAAGACTTGGTCTGCAGCAAGACATTTGTCTCTCAAATCAGTAGTTCATATATGTGTGTGCACATGTGCAAGTATCTGCATGCATGCAAAAGTGTGTGCATGGTCTGCAGCAAGACTTTTGTCTCTCAAATCAGTAGTTCATAAATGTGTGTGCACATGTGTAAGCATCTGCATGCATGCAAAAGTATGTGCATGGCTGCATGTGACTCACAAGTAGTGCTTATACCTATGGAAATATTAAGACTCATGCACCACTCATAAGCAGGTGCATTTGACTCATTTGTTAATTGCTTACTTTAAGCTAGCGTCAGTGAAGAAATATTAAGGCTTATGCAGCATGATTTTCTTTGGGTAAGGTTGGAACTAGAGCATATTTTTGTGCCAACTTGGACCTTAACTTCAACCCTAAATTCTTGTTCCTCTGTCTAGTGGACATCTTGAAGCTTCCCTCTTCTTTCTTTCTTCTAAAATACGATTGAAAAACTTGTCATTAAGCTTATGCTAGAATGTCTTTGCCTAGAGGGTGCTACACCTTCTACAGTTTCTTTAGCTTTACATCTTGGGTAAAAGTATTCAGCAAAATCCTTACTTTTCTCAGGCTCCAAGTTTATGGTCTATATGAAGTGAAGGTCTCTGGTGATGGAAATTGTCAGGTATATGTAATGAAAAATACTGGTGAACTTCAATCTCTCATATTATTCACCTCATTCACATTCAAGCTTTATGACTAGTTATTCAAATCACATCACCTTTTTTTGCAGTTTCGTGCACTTTCAGACCAGATGTACAGGTCCACTGAGTATCACAAGTATGTACGGAAAGATATTGTTAAACAGGTACAGTGTCTTTGTGGCTTGAGTAGTTATTTTGGTCTAGATGTTTTATGTGTAAGTAAATCTCAGGCGCATATTGCTAATTGTTGAGATCATCTTGTGACCTTGTGGGGATTGAAAATTTTCACCAAGAGCATTGGTGCTTAGTTCACAATGGGAGATCTATGTATTGTAGGAGGAGATATTAGCTTTGTAACCTTTTAAGATAGTCCCAGAGAAAAGTGGTATAAAACCCAGAAGAAATTTTAACATCTCATGATCATTTTTATATATCTCGATATTTTCAATTTTAACTGTTCTCTCCACCAACAGCATCATTCTTCTTCTTCGTGCTCCCATGAATATCTGTCTTTTGTAGTGGCTGTCTCCTCGAGAACAATGGTGAAGTGTTTTTGCAGCAGCTTCTTCCAGTTTCATCCTCCTATCTAAATCTTAACCATAGCAGTTGTCTAATCCTCATGACATATTTGACCATTCAAATTGAAGATGTTTACCACTTTTGACTTTGATTAGGGCCAAACTACCACCATGAACTATTCAACACATACCCCAACTCTGTATAGAGTCGTTTAGGCACCGACAGCATACAAGCTCTTGTTGCTGCTATCTCCTTGAGCAACACTCAAGGGAATCACTGTTCTCTGACCACCATATCAAACATTTCTGCTTTTCCAGATGTTAATTATCATTGTTATCCCTTTATTTAGATTGTTTCTTTTTTTGAGCTTATTTGGATTATCAACTGTTTAAAAGTTCACCAATCAAAATTCTCTGAAAAGTAAATTGATGGACTTTTAGATTTGTGAAAGATAAGCCAGAGACAGGCTAAAAAGAAATATTAAGTAATTGATTTTAAATGATTAATTCTTTTTCTTATTTTGATTACTTTTGCATATTCCAGCTTAAAGACCACCGTCATTTGTACGAAGGATATGTTCCAATGAAGTACAAGCGATATTGCAAGAAAATGGCAAAGTATGTTGCTTCATTAAGGGTCTTACAACCTTTGCTTTTATCTGACAAATGTTTGCTTGAATGGATGCATTTATTATTGAGTTTAGTTGAACTTGATTATTTGCTGGTAGTGAAGTTTTATTTTTTCTAAACTAATTATCCGGATTGTGTAGATCTGGAGAATGGGGGGACCATGTTACCTTGCAAGCAGCTTCTGATAAGGTCTTGTATTCTTTTCATAAAAACTGTCACAATTTGCTACCTCCTTTTATCATACACTTCTATTAGGTAGTCATGATATATAATTTTTGTATCGTATCATTGCTCTTGACAGTCTTTTTTACCTTGCTTTCTCCTCTCTTATCTTTAATCCTCCATGGAAATCGGCATACAGATGGTGTAAATACTATTCCAGCTCAAATATTTTGTTATGCAATTTCTCAGAGTTCAGTGATAGACATTGATAGTGACTTTTCCTTCAAAGATACATGCCTTTGCAAAGTTTTCATCTATGATTTAGCCTTTGATATGTCTAAGATGTACATAGATATTTCTTAGATGTTGGCTTTTGTTGGTAGATATATCTGATAATGATATGCATTATGGAAATATTGTTAGAAATATCTGAAGTGCTTCTTTTTTTATTAAAGAGAAAAATATTCTTTAATTCTTCTGACTGGTGTAAGTGTGTACTGAATTTGTAATACTCCAAGTAAAATGCCTCAATAATCTGTTGAGCTTCATTCTAGGTCATAATATCAGTGTCTAATATTCTAATTGTTTATTTGCAGTTTGCAGCAAAGATATGCCTTTTGACATCATTCAGAGATACTTGTTTCGTTGAAATTATGCCGCAATACCAGGCCCCTAAACATGGTAAGACTGGAAAAAGATTGATATAGAAAAAGAATAACACTGATTTCATACCTTGCAACAGGTTATCCTTTTTCTTTTAAGTTGTCTACTCTCACTGTCCCTGTCTCTTACTGTGTGTGTGCATGTGTGAATGTTGCACACTTGTATATGCTTGAAGTTCAAGGTCCAAACTCTGCTGCCTACTGGAATTCTCACAATTTTCCAAAATATCCTGCTTGGACATAAAGTCCTATATTTCAATTCGTTTTACCTCAACTTTAGAGTGCTCAGCAAACTGATTTACTAACTTGTAAGAGTGGCCTTTTATTGCTCCATCCTGATGGCATTCTTTGTGCCAAGATTTTTCTATTTCCTGTTCCCTGTAGCTTAAAGCTTGCTATGGAATTCCTTTGAGCAATATTTGAGCTTTTTATCCAATACAACCATCACTTATAAGTTAATATAAGCTCGGTAGGTTAACTTGAATTTCATTTTCCTTTTTACTCCTACTTAGGACCCTCCCTCTTTGACTGCATGTACTCTTGAACAAGGCACATGTTCTATACTGACACGCTTAGTCCTGCTATTATCCAGACCTTAGGTTCTGTATCCATGGATATGAGGTTTCAGACTCTATTTGGTCTCCATGAATGCATTCTTATGGTTTTCTTCTTCTCTGTTTTTTATTAATGCAGAATTGTGGTTGAGTTTCTGGTCTGAGGTACACTACAACTCACTATATGAGATCCAAGGTTTGTTTATGGTGAAAACATGAATTTTTTTCTTTTAAGGTTGAGTCTGTAAGTGTGTCGGGGTTTCAAGCGTAAAATATACTAATGTCTTCTCTTTACCAGGTGCCCCAGTTCAGAAGCCAAAGAAGAAACATTGGTTGTTCTAAGTTGGCAGATTGTTGAGGAGGGTATACGGCATTCATTCATGCTGCTGAAAAGTTTAGTACTGTGCACACTGTGCTTAATATTTTTTACAGATGACATTTAGGTTTTGGTCTTCATTGCTGTAAAGATATATGGTGCATTTCAGATTGAGATGCACCAGGTTAAATTCTTTTATTTATTCTTCTGTAAGGTGGATTTTTTTCCCAGTAGAGCAAATTTTGTTCATTCTACTGTCAATTGTGGCAAAACCCATTTTAGCCTTACAACGTTAATACATGTTTGTCGACATGTCGGATTCTTTGTTTACCCTCAGAAGGAGAAAAAAGGCCGAAAACGAATGAAAGGGAATGGAGAAAATGGGCGAAGGCTTTTTGTACCCATTTGAAAAGGCCGTGATAGTTTCACCTCATAAAATAATAATGACAGAAACATCATGGAGAAAGCGAAAGGAATGTTGTTTGAAAGAGACTAAACCCAATAAGAATCCATTTCCTGTCCTGAGTTTAGCTGAGGGATCCGAGAGTGCCGTTAAAAATCCAGTAAAAAACTGAATCAACATGCACCAGGTATTAGGTGCCAGGTGGTGTTTCAAATCTATATATGGTGCAAGATCCAATGATTTCATTTCAAAACTTAAAAACCATTCAAAATCCAGGAAGACTCCCATCATTCAAGCTGATTGCTGAGGGTGAAATACCCCATTAAAGAAAGTTTGCATTTGGGGTGAATTCTGTGTTTACCAAGTGAGTTTGTTGGGTTTTTCCAGGTGAGCAGAGCCAGCATCCTCTGCAATGAATCAAATCCAGCTCAAATCACACAAGAACTAGTATTAATATTTGGCAACTAACAGAATCCTAGAGATCACAGTAATTGTATGATTTAACTGTTGGGATTGGCGCCAGTTGTAGGGTGATAATGGCTGTCTCAGACCCTCTATCTTTTATTGCTCGTCTACTTAAAATAAAATCAAGGCCAGTTTCATCCTGGAAAGATTTTTTCTTTTTGTTTTTCTTGGCCTTGGCAGAGTACATCCAATTCCAGTGGTAGGCAATCTTTCAGCTTCAAAATGGCACAATCAAACACAAGTTGATGCTGCAGCAACTGGAGGAAGTTACTGACATTATTATTTTTAACCATAGATTAAAGGGTCAGCAACGCAAGTGCATTGGTTTCAATTATTGAACTTGGGGGTTGGCTTTTTAAATCACTATCGTCATCATCAGTAACTTCAGATGGATTGCTGGATTCCAGCTTCACGACCCAGACCCAGACATGATTCGCTTTTAGCTTATTACATATAGAGTTTGGCTGCATTTACTTATGGTTCGGTTGCATTGCAAGCACATGTAGTTTGGATCCTTGCTTCACTTGGGAAACCTCAATTATCTCTTCTCGTTCCTGTCCGAAAATTTGGCTGATCTACATCGGAGGTCTAGTCAACCCAAGGGGTCCCAGCACATAAAGGCCATTAGCAGATTGAGATAATGACCCATCAACCTTTTATACCAACAAATGATGGGCATTGGTTCGAGTTCATTGCTCCGCAAGATTTTCTTCTTTCCAAACATACCCGATTAATGCAACTCAGTAGAAAAATTGATCCAAAATCTCTTTCCAAGTCGTGAACTTGGGGTGGATTTAGTCTCTGTTATTGCTTTGATAAGTTCTAAGGGTAAGTAAATAGATGATTTGATTCGTCATATTTAAAAATTAAATAAATTAAATATTTTAAAAAAATTATTTAAAGTTGACTTAACAAAAAAAAATATCAAACAAGTCAAACATATAATTGGTTTGGTTGGTTTGATTTTAGATCAATAGATCAAAATTTTATTTTATTTTATAAATTATAATATTAAAATTTATAAACTTCATCTATAATTATAAAATATATAAATTAAATATATGTGTATATGTATAATATATTATTTTATTATATATAAAAAATTAATGGCACAACTTATATGTTATAATATTTTAATTTTTATATAAAAGTTTGTATAAATAATAACTAATTATAAATACTATGTTATAAAAATTAAGACGATAACTAATAAAATTATTAAGTGTAATAATATAAATAAAATCTATTATAAGTTTTAGTAATACTTATATATAAATTAAATATGTGTATATATATAATATATTACTTTATTATGTATATATAAAATTAATGACACAACTTATATATTATAATATTTTATAACAAATTTATATAAATAATAACTAAGTATAAATAATATGTTATAAAAACTAGGATGATAATTAATAAGGTTATTAAGTGTAATCATATAAATAAAGTTTATTATAAGTTATAATAATACTTATGTATAAATTAAATATACATAATATATATATTCATAACATTTTATATTATGAAACATTATTAAGACATAATAATTATAACATATTAATATGTAGGATATTTGCTATCATATATATTATAATAGTAACATATTAACTATATCATTTAAAATATATAATTTTTAATTTCGTATTAACACAGATTTATAAATAAATATATATAATTAAAATTAAATTACTATGATTATGATTTGTATCCATATATATAATAAATTAGTATATTTTAAGTATATTATCAATTAAGTTTACTATCAATTTTTCTTAATATATCTAAAAAATACTATATACACTAATATATTAAAAAATATAAAAAACCAATTTAGTTTTTCAGTTGAATTGGTCTAAAAATTTTAAAATCGAAAACCGATCAAAAATCAATTGAATCAAACATTTTGGATAAATTGATCTAATGAATCAATTAAACCAAACTATTTTACTTAAATCGTATTTAATTTGAATAGATAATTGATCTGATTTGATTTTACTCATCTTTGTTCTTTTTTTTTTTTACTATGGCACAATAACTAGAGCGAGACCACAAAGGGAATTTGTTGAAACAAGTAAATGCTAAATAAATGGATGTGGTTAATACCAACCTAATCCTGTCCATGCGCTCTCAATCTCATTCATTAAGGCATAATATCACATTCATTGCCAATGCACATGCAAATGCTCCTTCCCGGTTTCCGCTGTTGTCCTTCAAACTATAGGCATCGGATGGCTCAGAAGGGTGTCAGTATTTTATTTGAAATTGGAGATAAAAAAAAGAGAGAGTAGAGTTTGGGGTTTGAAAACGTTGAAGAACATGAAAGTGGTGTGGATACCATTAAAACATAAATAACGTTACTTCAAATCAAAATCCTAAAGTTCCTAGGTCATGCCATAGGTATACAAGGCAAATCAAATGACAAACTAAGTTGTTCTCATTAGCCATGTTTACCGCATTAATAGCTGGGCGACTCACGTGGGATACGTAGACCTTAGGCCTACTGGTTCGTGGCCACGACGCAAAAGCACATAAATGAATTTGGGGCAAACACCATGTGGCAAATCCTTAATGGCCCAAACAATGTAGGTTCGACTGTGAAATCGCTAAAAGAACCAGGAACTAAAGCCAAGAGACTCTCCACTACCCACCGTGACCCATTGCAAAAGAAGAATCCGCCCTATTTGTTTCAACTTTCAATGCAGCTGTTTCACTGCTTACTCTTTTAAAGATGAATAATCCAGCCCCAGCTTTAAGTCCTGGGCTCACTATACAATGTTATATATTATTGGAAAGCAAAGCATGATGGTGATTTAAATTGTAATATTGTAATGGTAAAGAAAACCCAAGGCAGAGATTGTCTGGTATAATATTTTAATGGTTAATGTTATCTGGGGAATGAATAAGACCATACCTTGCTCTTTTAAGTCTTACCCAAAGTCCAAAAGGGGCAAGGGGTGTCTGCTTATATATACCCTATAATCAGTTCGAGCCTAAAGCACCAACCATTTCCTCTGACAGAGACTAGAGAGACATCGGGCATGGCTTCTTTTCTTTGGACTTTATGTCTCGGCTTTCTATTCTTGGCCTATGGAACTATGAGTGCCGCACCAAGAAAGCCCGCAGATGTGCCATTCGGCAGGACCTATGTACCCATCTGGGCTTTTGATCACATCAACTATCTCAATGGCGGAACCGAGATTCAGCTCAAATTAGACAAGTACACAGGTATATCATAATATTGAAGTTAAAGCTTTGGATTTCGGGTGCACTCATCTTCGTTATCTTAATTGTTGTTTTTTGTGTTTTCCTTTTTATGATGAAGGGACCGGCTTTCAATCTAAGGGCTCTTACTTGTTTGGTCACTTCAGCATGCCCATTAAGATGGTTCCTGGGGACTCTGCAGGAACGGTGATTGCTTTTTATGTAAGTACTTTTAAGACATTTCAGTACTTGTTGCATTGCAATCCTTAAAAAAGGGTTATGTCAGTTCACTGATCCTGTTCTTTTCCTTGTTTCTGATATATGGTGCAGTTATCTTCTGAAAACTAAGAGCACGACAAGATAGACTTTGAGTTCTTGGGGAAGAGAATCGGGCAACCTTATATTCTGCTGACCAATGTGTACACTGAAGGAAAGGGAGATCGAGAGCAGAGAATTTATCTTTAGTT